GTCCGCCGTGTCCGACGGCTGTGTTTGTGCATTTGCTTGCAGAACCTGCCTTCGGGGAAGTGAACCAGCTCGGGGGGGTGTTTGTCAACGGGAGACCCCTGCCCAATGCCATCAGGCTGCGGATTGTGGAACTGGCGCAACTGGGTATCAGGCCGTGTGACATCAGCCGGCAGCTCCGCGTTTCCCACGGCTGTGTCAGCAAAATCCTGGCTCGCTACAACGAGACCGGCTCCATCCTACCGGGGGCTATCGGCGGCAGCAAACCTCGGGTCACCACTCCCACGGTGGTAAAACATATCCGGACCTACAAACAAAGGGATCCGGGCATCTTCGCCTGGGAGATCCGGGATCGCCTGCTGGCCGATGGCGTGTGTGACAAGTACAACGTGCCGTCGGTTAGCTCCATCAGCCGCATCCTCCGGAACAAAATCGGGAACCTGTCTCAGCAGAGTCACTACGAGTCTTACAAGCAGCACCAGCCGCCCCCACAGCCTGCTCTGTCCTACAACCACATCTACCCCTACCCCAGCCCCATCGCTGCTGCAGGAGCCAAGGTGTCCACACCTCCCGGAGTGCCGGCGATCCCCAGCACCATGGCCATGCCCAGGACGTGGCCGTCCTCTCACTCGGTGACGGACATCCTGGGGATCCGGTCCATCACAGACCAAGGTGAGAGATGGGGGGAACCGGGGCCACAAAGGCAGCCAAACAGGGCCGGAAGGGTTCGGTCCCCTATTTCTGGGTTCTTGCCTTTCCGAGAGTTGGAAGGTGGTTTAGTTGTTTGATTCGGGAAGCCCCTGGCATTTCCCGGGCACGGGCCGGGCACTGAGCTTACTGGAGGACGCGTCTCGGAACGTGGGCAGAACGAAGGGACTGGGTGGGCTGCAGGAGAACCAGCAAACAGGACACATCGGCCGTCACCTCCGCCTCTCTGACCCGGGAAATGGGGATCTTCGCCGGGGGGAACGGCCCGGGGTGCGGCGGCACCAGGGCGCGCTTGGTCCTGGTCCCGGTCCCGGTCCCAGTCCTGGTCCCGGCCGAGGCTCGCTGCCGCACTCCGGTCACAAGCGCTGCCTCGGCGTTTCTGAGAAGTCAATTTTCTGTAGTTTTCGTAATCAGGCCAAATTTGCTTCGGCAGGAAGTTCAAATGTCATCTAATTGGTTTCATTCTGATGGTGTATTTTCCTCCGAAGCGGTGGTCTACGAAAACCAAAGGCCCAAGATTTGCCTCTTTTATCCCTTTCACATTCTTTCAGCTCCTCCGCCTGGAAACTGTGTCGCGTCTCCCAGCCGCTCGCTTGCAAGGGACATTTTTTCCATTTCTGTCTCTGCCAGTGAACAGTGAAAGCATTACTCAAAGTGTCACTGAAAACAAGTGTCCAAAATAACCTTTGCCTACAGCGATCTCTGTGTCCAGTTCTTCTCTAAGTATTAGTGGAGAGGTGGGAGCTGTGATCTCTGTTTTCACTGCCTTTTTAACAGCAACAATGTAATTCTACCAGCATTTCAAATGCAAAATGATCCTTTAGGCACTGCAGAATAATTTTCTTCTTATTTAATCAGAAAAGTGATATTTTTCTCAAGCAACACATGCGTAACCACAAGCACGGTTTTTTAAAATTTGTGTGCATGCAAAAAAGTAAGTTTGTTCTTCTTTGCTCTTCACGATACAAACTTTATTCTAGTCCTCACTAGCACAAACAAATGTGCTTGGTTCTGAGTCGACTTCAACAAATACACGCCTGGCAATCTAGAGGTAGTGTTGGCAATGAACATTAAAAAGAATGAGAGCATTACAATCACATAAGAAATTTAGTTTTGTTTTTTTTTTTTTTAAAGTAAGTTTCTCCTTTATTAACACCACATTGTCAGGCAGGCCTCTAACGGTGCTGCCGGGTGCCTCGGTATCTGTCCCGTCTCTCTCAGCCCCCGCAGCGACACACATCTTTCTGCAGTGTGAAATCTCCCCCCTCCCCTTCCCGTCAGAGGGTCAGGGCTGCGGAGTGGCCGATGCCGCAGATGGGGGCTGCTCGCCCTTGATTTATAGGGCAAACTGACCTTGCTGACACGGAAAGGAAGCCCCTATTCATGGGAAAGTGTGAGATCAGCAGAAAAGGGCGCTCGCCAAGGGAGCTCAATTTCTTAAGACAACTTCAGATTTGTGCCTTTCCCCAGCACGGCGAGGGGCCGAGCGAGGCAGTGTCTCAGGAAAGCCCCCTCCCACAGCAGGGATCTCCGATGCGGCTGGGCGCGGGGCTCCGGGCACGGCTCCCCCTACTCCTCCCCTGGCTCCCCGGTGCGGGAATTTGGCCATTCGAGGAATCCCGGTATGCCCATAGCGCGGCTGATAGGCATGTAAATAATAGGACTGTTACTTCTTTTCCTCACCGCTTTCTTATCTTCCTCCTTTTATTTCCCTAATATTAAAAAAAAATGATTTATTTAATTTTATGTTGTATTTTCTTTTTCTCCCAAAAAGTGTTTGGATCCCAGTTCATCCGCAAGCTTGTCAGATCTGTTTGTAATCTCCTCTGATTCACAAACACACACACGGCGGTTGCCATAAATACCCCTTCAGGAGATCCTGGGGGATAAACGCCGGTCGGCAGCTCCATCCGCCAGTGCGGGGACGTGGGGCAAGCGACCCAGCCAGCTCTGGGCTGTGTTGCTGATCTCTGTCACAGGTTTCACGGAGGGAACTGACTCCCTTCTGCCCACGAATCACCCTCTCAAGGAGCTTCCAGGAGTTTCAGCAAGGTGTGGCGGGCGAGGGACCAGTTTCCCCTCAGCTCTGCCCCACAGACTGCCTTCCATGTGGAGAGGGAGCCGTCTCCGAAGCAAAGCCATTTCCATCTCTGAATCCTAGCCTATGCCTCTAACTCCCTCTCTCCCGCTCCTTTGTTTTCCAGCAGTGAATGACACTTCGCCTTACCCCAGCCCCAAGGTGGAGGAATGGAGCAGCTTGGGCCGAAACAGCTTCCACCCGCCGACCCAGCATGCCGTGAACGGGTTGGAGAAGAGCTCCCTCGAGCAGGAGGCCAAGTACAGCCAGGTAAAGAGAGAGTGGGGGGCGGGCAGTGATGCTAAGGGCTCCTGAGCTCGGCCTCGGGCTACCGTCCTCGGTTTGGAGCCGGTGCCGGACTTCTGTTTTGGTTTGCAAAGACGGGCGGAATAAAGGCCGGCTCTCTTCGCTCCTCTCTCGCTTCCTCCCCCGGCCCGGCGGCCGCGGCGCCCAGCACCCCCACCCCGCCCTGCTGCCGGGGGCCGGCAGCGATCGCATCCCGGCCCGGGCTGCCCCCGCCCCGCCCGCCCAGCGGGCGCTCCAGACCCGCCGCCAGCGACCCCCGCCCCGGCCGGGCCAGCGGGCACGTCCCGCCGCCGCCTCCGCCCATAACGCCGCGTTTTACTCTGTCCGCAGCGTGCTCTGTAGTCAGGGGAATAATTTGAAAATGAGATGTAATTGCTTCCTACATTAAGCATTTTTAAACGCTTAAGTAGACGGCGAATTTCCTACGTTTTAATTACAACACAATATAACTGTTACTTAATAAATCTCTGTCTAAATCTTTGTACTTGCTAATCAAGTGCCATGCCAGGAGAAAAGCTATAAAAGGCTCAACTGTTACTCGTTGGGAAAGGACAGGTTTTGAAAACATTTTTTTCCATGTGATGGAAACATTTCAAAATGCATCAGAGGTCTCTCAGTCACACTGACTTCACAGCCACGCATTTGTTGTACTTAGAAGCAAGTCAAAGAAAACCCACAATCGCTGTTTAGCATTTTTCCCATTCAAAGACAGAGGTTTTGGATGTATTTTTTGAGTTCTGTGTCTGGTTTTAGATCCGTGTAGAGGAGACTTTTGTAGCTTGTGTTCTGTGGTGAGAGTAGCTGAATCAGACTCTCAAGATGCGGAGCACAAACTGCGGGAACACTTGCAAAGAGTGGGCAGAGTGGGAAATACTGTGGAACCTGATAGTGAACAGCTTCTTCATTACATATATTGCCTTTTAAACACTACACCACCCTCAGTGCTATCCTATTTGTTTTGTTTTTCTATTATTCCATTATTATTATTATATTCATTTCATAACACAAGCAATGTGTGCTATAGTGTAGCTATTATTGTATGATTAAAGATAGAATTAGACGTAGATTTAGTGTTACTATTCCTTCTACAATTTTCTTTAAAGACTAAAATAAGCATTAACAGTCTTGCTAAAAAACAGTAGATACAGATTGTCACTACTCTGTAAGAGCAGCTGTACTGTGGCTTCATTGTCTTAGGTTCCAGGCTGGGCCTTCTGCACACAGTCCTGCTGAAATATTCACAGGATCTTGTTCATTGGCTATAAACCATGGCCTCTGATGGATCTCATTTACTTTACAGATGTGTTGAAGAACAGTGTTTGAGTTATCGAGTTATTTTAAATGTTGCTTTGAAAACTATTTTTTACCTTTTTTCTTTTTTACTTTCAATATTTATGATTTCATATGCATAATATATAACTGTTCTGTTGTCAATATCAGTTTTACTTTAAAGTTTTGTTCAACCTGAAAGATCACCTGATAAATGTTATTTAAACACACACTATTTAAAATCTGAGAAAATTGCTATTAATAAAATGGATTTCATTTATCCAAGTAAATTGTCCAGAGAGGTTCAAAGGGCAGAAAAGCCATATTCAGATCCCTGCTCTCTAAAGGAAGATATAGAAGAGGTTCTTCCCAACTTCTTCCCCGTAATGATAATATAGGTAAACAGAATTTGGCTTTGGAAAGTTTTAACACATAGACCAGTCTATTCATATAGTATTCAGAATTGTTATCCAGAAAATTAATTTGAATGTGCATTAATTGCTTTGTCTGTCATGAGTCCACTACCTTGCTAATTAGGAATATGTTAAAAAAAGTCATGCTAAATAAGGATGGGAAAATGTGATAATTTGCAGTTTTTGCCACATTCCTTTTGCCAAAATATTTATTCCAGACAGTGTGAAGTTGATGAACCAAATTCCTGCTGCACATAGTGCTGATTTACTGTCTTTTTGCTGAAGTGTAGTGAGTCTGGAGTGGCAGCTGGTGAGAGTAAAGACTTACAAAATTTTCTGACATCATTGGATGCATGGTCTCTTGCAATGTATATGGTTTTTGGTGTAAAGAGATGAGCAGAGGAAATGAGAGAATGTTGGTTCATTTGTGGATCTAGCAGGGAGGTATCTGGAGTGGTGGGAAAATGGGGAAGTCTCAGATATATTTAATATGCCAGAAGGACTATGGTGAAATAGCATGTGTTGTTGTACTTCGGGGTAATTGCTATTTCATTTCCTTATCTCTTTTGGGCAAAGCTTGTTACAAAAACTCTTAAGGGTCTTAAGGAGGTAGACATCAGATTTCCCACAGAGAAGAGAAGTGATTGTTCTGTTTATATGTCTGTATTATCAAAATCAGAGGTGCCTACAAGAGGAGGGAATCAAGTGTGGATGTTTAACTTAGGCTTCCCAATTGCACCACAGGAGCAGAGGAAATGTGCTTCGAAGCACATTAACAATGGATTTTGTGTGAGTGATAGGTAATTCTGCATTTTCCAACAAATATCAACTATGTATTTAAGCATCACCAACATCCAAAGTTCACCTGTCCATAGGTTGCAAATAGCATAATCTTTCATAGCAAGTGAAAGTCTTGTTCCTCAGCTTTAGTCATGGAAGATAATATTTTGCTTCTCAAGAAGTTCCCTGGAAAATCCCTCTGTGTGAGAAAGGTTAGAAAAATTGAGACCAAAGAACAAGGTCTTGTATACTTTTACAGTAAATTTATTTGAACACTTTTGGATTACATACATTTGTTTTAAGACACAGGATACTGTAGTCTTTCTCTAGGAAAAACTCTTACTGCCATCCCAGACTTGTCAGGCAGCAGCCAAGGCTGACCTCTCCTTGGTTCTAATGGCTACATTTCAGCCCTTGTCCCACGCATCAGTGGGAATTCACCCACCAAAAAGGCAGGAAGACTTCACATTTTTGCCTTGACAATATGCAGTCATACTAGTTAAACATGAAACTGAACCTCTGGATGTAGAAGATTTTTCATTTTATGTATTATGGATTTCCTGGGGCTTTTATTTGCAATGTTGTTCCTATTTGGGTTTCGGGAGTTGAAAGCTCAGCCTGGTAGACTGTGATTCTGTACAAAACATTCCACAGAAAACCAAAAGATGCTTTGTCAAGTTTCTATTCAGGTTTAATTACCTGATGTCCCAGGTTGTCATTTATACATAAGCAATTGCATAATTTCCCTGGTGTATCACACTCGCAGATTTGTCATATGGCTTTCAAGCAGGGTGACTGTGAATCAGAGAAACTGAAAAGAAAAATAGATTTTCCCAGGAGTTTGACAGTTTTGTGTCGTATGCATTTCATACAGAGCTCAGTTTTATATTGCATTATTTATGGAGGGAGGCACATTCAGTGTGGTGTTCAGGAGCTTCTAAAGGTAATTATGCTATTGTTGCAAAGGATGAATATTCTAAGTATTTTCTTTTGCATTGCACGGCTTATTCTGACTACTGCATTAAAAAAAATAGCTGAAACGACTGCAATATGAACACAATTTGTAACCTGCATTTGAAATCAAAACATTTAATAAACATGTATCATGTCTAAAATGCAGATCTTAGACATCTGATGTTTGTGACTTGCTGGACTAATATCATAGATGTTCAAAGTGAAAAAAAATTGTGATCTGTATTTACACATTTATGAGAATGAAGAAGACCTGACATACAGAGGCAAATAGCTTGGAAATAATTTTTCAGAATGACTTTCTGTGCACATTGCAGGAAGCAGAAGTGCATATTGCCAATGGGAGCTGATACTCATTAATGGGAAAAAGCTTGTAACTGGGGGGGTCTAAGAGCAAGCTCGCTCCTGGAAATGGTATGCTCTTTGGAGGTCTCATCCCAAACCTACTGGAGCTGCAGAAAACATTCCTAATTCAGAGGGGTTTGTGAACATAGTTTGAGTGAAACCTTCCTCTGACTTGCTGGCCAAACCCCTAAGCAGCAACTACCTCAGGTCTGCCTCAGCTGAACTTCATCAGCTGTTAGGGGATTGAGTTTTCGGCATTGTTGGGATATCACTCCCTGTCCCTTGGCTGCATTCTGACTGGAGGCCGTGAGTTCTGTGTGCTGCAAGCACATAGAGGGAAGGCTCCATTTTAGGGCAAGTGATTGCAAATGTAGGTGCAACTCTGGACAATTACTTACACAGAAAATGTAGGTAATGTAGACATTTAGTTCCTGAGCTTTCATTTATAGATGAACAGTGAACAATGTATATTTGGTGGCCATGCATCTGTAACTCTATCTGCAGTGCTTAGAACCCACAATGCAGGGTAACTTCTTTGGGGACAACATTAAAATGTAGCCTTAAATATTATGGCAAATTGCATGGCCCTCCTACAGACAAGATTTACTGAAAAAATTAATTAGCAAATTACTTATTTGTCATCTTACAACCCAGGATCCAGGCAGTTGGATTCCTGCTATGGGTCTGTGCAAGATCCATCAATAACAAAGGTTTGGACCTACTGCTTTTCAGTGATACCCAGGCAGCACGGGGATGAAGCTGTGAAGGAGAGGTGTTTATTTGCTTTCTTGCTCTAGTACCCAGCAGCATTGTTAGCAGAGTCTGGTGCAGGGGTTCAGACCTTGGCTTGGAGACTGGTTCTGTGTCACTTTCACTAGGATCTCCAGACCAGGCCTGGTATCAAAACATTGCCACTAAGACAGCTTGCTCAAGGTCTAGGCATCCTTGTCGTTGCATGTTGTGGGTGAGGGGGATGAGCTGATCCCACTACATGCACCCGATTCCTCCCCAGGTGATCTGGATGGCACCCAATTCGAACCCCATTTGTGAGACCTGCCTCTTACTGGCCACCTGCTTCCACGGCCAAAACACAGTGCCCTGTCCACCAACCCACATGGCTTCAGGGCACTCCACCCGGATGAAACTAATAAAGAAAGTCAGAGAGGTGAGTGAATGGTATAATGA